ACTTCAAAATCTATCTTTAAGGAACAGATTTAATTAAGAGAAAAAACTCTTTAATATTTTAGTTGTAGGAAGACGACGAAAAGAATTTGAACTTTTGCAATTTTCGAAAAATTAAGGTTGTTAACGAGCATGATATCTGCACCATTCTCTTAAGCGTCCTTCACTCTAACCAATAACAAAGTTCAACCAAAATGTTGCAGCTATGTTTTTGAACATTTCGAAAATGTCCTATGGGCTTTATGTAAAGTACTCCTAAAAATTAAAATTTCGGTTTCAAATTAAAGGGGCCGCGACATCGGCCAGATCAGTAGGGGAATATCAATTTTTGGAGAAAATCGACTAAACTGTTTAATCGCTAGCGCTGTTCACAGGTGTTTGGTCGTCAATCGATTTTTCGGCATCAAGAACCCTTAAAACATGGATTCTGGCTAAAGCACATGTTAGAGATTTTTTCTTCTAAATTTAGCAATTGGATTTATCAACTTTTTCGTTATTAGGGCCCTGTAATAAGAGGTTCTCTGCCGAAAAATCGCCTTTTTTCGCGCAGCATTACATAACTTCCTCTCTACTGCGTAAGCGGTAGCGATTAAGTAAAAAAGTTAAACAATGTTCTTTAAAGCAATTGTCATTTTTCCCTTGAGTATAGCAAAAGACGTTTATAACTAGGGCGCGGATTTTAACGGAATTCCTTTTCTTTTTTTTTTTCGATATCGACTAATAAGTCCTTTTGTACCTTTCACCGTCATTTTTAAATCATTTTTCGCTGAATCTATCAATTTTATTATAATTTTAAAGGTACTTGCTTCAAATAATATTTATGAAATGCATCAAATGTTCCCCACAAAGTTTCTTAGTTGCCTATTCAATTTTAATTGTTTCGCTCAAAAATTGTAATGTCAGGCGTTATGTTTGTAATCTACTGTTTTTGTGACGTCTTTCAGCGCCACTATCAGTTTGGCTGATTTCACGATAACTAAAGCCAGAGTTCCTAGTAAAGACCAGTCCAGACCAAAAATTTGCAAACTGAGTTCACTTGATCGAAAGAAAGAAGCCTCAATTACATCAGTGATATATCCAATAGTTTGAGTTGTTCATCTGAAGTAGTTTTGATCAAATTTTTTGTCATTTTTCATTGCTTCTAGAGCATTTTAAAAACATTTTAAGAATATTTTATTTGTCATTTTTGGCGATTTTTTAGGTAAATAAATCCGCCCCCTACTTATAACTATGTATATGTCCAGTTTTCATTAAAATCTTTTAATTTTAAATTATTCAGAAAGTTCGATTTTTTTCTAAATCTGTCCTTTTTCGTGATTGAAGGTAGTGATTTATTTTTAATCCACCTATTATTTTAATATTCTTTAACATAAATCATATATATAGTTTTTTATTCTTTATAAATAATTTACATATTACTTGGGAGATACAATGTATCTCCTTATACGAACACCCGCAGAAGAATTAATGTATAATATCTCAATTTTCCCCGACCATTCAAATATGTAGCACGCATAAAATGTTAATATTAATTGTTTTCCCTCTCAGTCAAACAATCTGATTCGTTTGTTATACATTGCAACTTCTACTATTTACTGCAATTCTGAATGCTGGGCTTTGTATGTACATCCTCGTATCACATCCCAATGTGCCCTGACCAAAGGGAGGCACTAAATTCACGAGGTTACAACTCGGTGTCGATTATCACGGCTGTACACGCCAAACGAAGTCGTCAGCCCACAGCGTCAGGCGCGACAGGCGACGGAGTAGGTCAACACCGCGATGTCATGCGTGGCATACCGCCGCCGCCGCCGCCGCCGCTGTCGTCGTTACCGCCACCGTTCACGGCTCCGCGGCCCGGTGACACAGTTGGGCGATTATTTCGGGCTCCGGCGGTGGCGGCAGCGCGTTCGCAACCCAAAATACCCGCGCGAGCAGAGGCCAACGCCGCCGCCCGGACGAAATGCCTCCCGGGCGCCGCCGCCGCAGCCTCCGAAAGCGAGATTGGATCAAAGCCTGCTGGATATTACACCAAAAAAACACATGAACACGCATATGGTGGAAATGGTGCAGGTGTGCTTTACGAAGGCTTCCAGCGGTGAATTTGTATAATTTACTTTCGTGTAAAATATGACAAACAACACAAGGAGTTGACAACTGCATAGTTGTATAACGTGACATATTCAAAATTGAGATGACAACTAGTCGTATAACGTGACATTCAAAATTTTATACAATATTTTCTTATTTAAACAACATCCACTGGATTGAAAAATATCTCAAGGAATGTGTTAGTCGTTTGTACAATAATTCTAGTAAAAATGTTTGACCGTGTCCCTCGTTAATCATGTTTTTTACAACATATAGTAATTACCAACATACAGCCTATAATTTTCATTGCGTCTTGCAAGAAATTCTAAAGAATATACAGGAAATAATAATCCTGAAACGTACGTTACATGCTAAAAATGCTACAATTTTTGGACATTTAACGGCTTATATATACTTCTGTTGTGCTGTGGCGCAAAACTTAGACTCTACTCCTCCAAGAGGTAAGAAGCAAGAAGAAAATCTAGAAGGCTCATTTCAATAGAGATCAATTTTTCCTAATAATTTTCCCGCTACATAAAATACACTTTGCGTTTGAAGGGTCAAGAAAATTAAATAAGCGATACCTTTTCATATAATTACATTATATTCATATTCTAGTCTTTAATCTATTTTAATTCGAACGCAGATTCGATGACTCTGACAAATAACAACTTACATATCAAGGCAGCATTACATGTCAATTTACTCACCTACCGACGCAGGAAGCCTTTTCCCATAACGTGATGTATCAGTCTATTATTAGGCAGTAATAATAATAATAATAATAATAATAATAATAATAATAATAATAATAATAATAATAAAGAAAACAGAATGCCTTCCTAAAGATTTAAAAGTCGGATTTCGAACAGTTCTCGAAGAATATATGGCAAATCACATCATAATCTATACAGATGGTTCAAAAACAAAACATCGGGTCGGAAGCGCATTTGTAACTGAGAACTTGTCGAGGGCTTGGGCGCTTCCACCTGAAGCAAGTGTGTTCACTGCCGAATTGTATGCAGTATTGCAGTCTTTGCGTCACTGTGAAACTCTCGATTCAGGAAGGTTCCTCATCTGTATAGACTCTCTAAATCTTCTCACTGCAATAGACAGGCGCCAAACTGTAGGTCCACTGCTACAAATGATTCTCATAGCATGCCATAAATTAGAGCAGCGAGGAGCATCAGTTACGTTTATCTGGTGCCCTGGACACGTGGGTATCCTAGGCAATGAAGAAGCCGATTCTGCAGCACGAAATGCCGGGAACATCCAATCAGAAATGGATATTGAAATACGACCTCAGGATGCAAGAAATGCTGTCTCGAAGTGCATCCGCACAGAATGGCAGACCACGTGGAACAGTCTTCACACGAAACTACACCCCATTAAACAGAATATCAGTAAATGGTCACCAAATGTCAGCTACCCTCGACGAGAACAAGTGTGCATAACCCGACTAAGAATAGGCCATACAAGAATGACTTCTTCATACATGTTAAGAAATGAAGAACAACCCATCTGCAGCTGCGGAGGACTTCTGACAATGAAACATATTCTGACAGACTGCGTAGATCTCTCAAGACTTAGACACAGATGCGGTATGAGAGGCAACATGAAGATAGATCTCGGCACCGACAAGACAGCAACTGACAAAACAATACAGTTCTTGAAAGAAGCCAATCTTTTCTTCAAAATTTAGATTTAATATATGATTAATTATAACGTCAATCAGTAAAAAGGCTAAAGGCCTTAGATGCCAAGCCTTCAAACTAACAAAATAATAATATTATTATTATTAATAATAATAATAATAATAATAATAATAATAATAATAATAATAATAATAATAATAATAATAATAATAATAATAATAATATCCTAATTGTATGTTGTAGTTTTTTCGTTTCACTATTTTATTTGTATGTTTTTCTACTTGGATTGACTCAGCCGGAAATAATTTCCTCTACTTTCTATATTTCTGATGCTTTCAATAAAAGAAAAGAAAGATAATTTCATAGGCTGTTTCACCTGAAATGCAGATGGGGATTTTTATTAGGTCAACCCGAATGGTCGTGATAGCTAAGGTATAGTGCAATAACATACGCGAGGTCGCGGGTCTCAGTAGTACTTTCGTATTACAGGTACCTGTATATTGTGGCATGGTGCCAACTACGAAATAAAGGTGCCATTATACACCAACCACGAGATAAAGGTTAGCTTAGCTGAAGTGGCAGTGACGCCTCAGCGAACCTCAGCAGATCCTCTCAAACTCAAAATCAAAAATATAGATGAGCCTGCGGATTCCACCCAAAAGCCAAAGCAGGAGTGAGTCCCAAACGACTCTTAAGTACGAGTAGAAAGGAAGTAAAATTAAAAGGACGGGCCGTTGTCCTGGGAACTCGCTTAATGTGGAGAGCTTATTAGAGAGACTTGGAAGGTGGCAGGGAGGGAAGAAAATACAAATCCATGATAGACTGAAGTGCCCTGATCAAAAAATGTATGTGAATACATAGTCTTTCAGAACAGAACGAGCTATTTTTCTTTGCGAAGAAGAGGAATAATTCAGAAATAACTGACTATATCGTTTAGGTAGAATGCATGAAATTACATTAGAAAGTTGAATTGCCAGTAAACCAAGATGTAGAAGAACTGAAGTGGAAAAACTGAAAATAGTGTAGAAGAGATGAAAGAAAACTTAAAAGAGGCCGGAACAAGAAAATACCTAATTAATCAATGGCGAACAAAATGAGATTTTCTTTTCGACGAAAATATTAGCCAGAGATGCCGAGGTTAAGTATGGGATTGTTGTTAAAACATTGATGGATTTAAGAGATGTCGAGCAATTTAAAGCCCCGCCACTCTGGTAGCCGTTGTCCAACCAATGCTGTTTCAGCTTCTAACCTCTTTCCCTCGTGGTTTCCGGCTAGTAGGTTTTCGAAACGTCATGGTGCAATGACAGAACAAGTTCACTGTCAGACCTGCTATGGAAGGGAGGAACATATGGAATAATTTTTTGATTTTATTGTTGATACGTAAGTTTGTATTTCTGCTAAAGAGAATTGGATCTGTTCGTTTGATATTGTATAATTGTCGAGTTTAGTGTTCTATCCCGCATTGAAGTTTCTTATCGGAAGAATGATGACTGTACAATTTTCTTCCGAAGTTTGGGCTCTCAGATTTGTTTTGTTCAGAACATGTTGATAATGTTCGCTCCAAAAATTGGCAGATCAGTACATTTTCTCTAACATATTTTACGAATCTGATCAATGATTTTCTTTAAGAAATGATTATGTGTATTGAATTTTATTGTGATGTAGATATTTAAACAACGACTATGATCCAATGATTGATCCATGATCAATTGATTATATTTTCCTATGATTTTTTCAGATCACAATGTCTGTTTAGGAATTAAACTAACAGCTTATCTGTCAGAAAATGGTTTACATGGCACTGTAGATTTTCAAGAACAACCAAAGGATAGTAAAAATGTGTACATACAGGTTTCATTACAAGTGGCTGAAGATCAATCTGTTTGGTCATGGCAAATACGAGAATTTCCTCTGTATTACACAAATTTGGAAAATCGTTGCACTGGAAACAACTTAGGATCAAAGTAACATTTTTTTAAAAATTCTTTTAATTAAATTGTTTATATACTATATCAAAGTGTATTATGTATGAAATTGTATTTGTTCTTTTTAAGACTGGTAGATTTAAATGAGATTGTTGGACCATTGACATTTCCTGATAACAGCTCTAGTACAGTGATTTTGTCAAAAGATTTACTGTCCTTGGAAGGTCCAAGAGGCATATGGGGACGGTCACTGGTATTACACTCTGATGATGGACGAAGAGCTTGTGGTTCAATTACTGTGAGTTTATTAAACAGAACACATTCTTTTTAGTTTAGTTTTCTCTTTAAAAGATGTCTAAATGAATGTCTGTAGCAGGATGCACATACTGAATCGGTAAAATATGTAGAAACTTTACTGGTAAGTAAGAACATTATGTAACATTGTATAAAAGCCCAGGAAATAACAGCAATTTAGTGATAAGTTTGATAGTGAAAACAGTGTTAGTAAAATTCAAGAACCTGATATGCATCATGTTCAGGATTCCCGCAACCCTTTTTTCTATTTCTACCATCTCATCCACAAGCTTCCAGTAAGCCTCTCTGTTTTGAGCTAGGAATATTTCTATGGTCTTGCCTTAGTAGTAGTGAACCACTGGTTTGGGGCAACATTGACATAATGCTCACCACAAATGTATTTCCATGTGATGCAGATATTTGTAATCATAACACGACATAGAAATTGTATTCTTCAAGTGTCATTATGTACAGCTCATTACAAAAAATCCAAATCCATATTTATTATTATCATTTTTCAACACATTGCTAGATGACATTAAACTATTAAAATCAGTTCGCTTATTCAAATCGCAAGTAAAATCTTTTCAATTTCTACACCATTAGAGACTATTCTGTCAAAGCAATATGACACAGAAGCAAAATTTCATGATCCCAACCATGAATTCACACCTGTATTCATAATTCAGCTACACATAGTCAAAAGCGGGGTAGAGATTTGTAATTTTTTAAAACCAGCATAGATTGTACTTTCCCTGTACATCATATACAATTTTTTACTGCTTTTTAACTTTTAATAAATAAGTTAAATCATCAGGAAGAGTAAAATGATGGGGTTCAGATTTCAGGTGCTGCTGATGAGAAAGTAGCAGAAGCAAGGTTTTTTTCTCCACTTACTGGTTCTGTATTTTTTCGTTGGGCTGGCAGTCAACAATTAAATACAATAGATACCTTAGTACATGTCAATCTATATCGAGTGTCAAAACCTTCATGGACCTTGACAGAAAATACCAAACATAACTGGAAAATATTTGCTACTGATATTTTGGATTCTGAAGCTGGTATGAATATAATTTATTCAAATAAAATGAAAAATAAAACTGTAAATGTCTGTTATATATGACAAAAATGATTCCCTTATTTACTATTTTATATTTTTTTGTTTTGATAATCATATTTGAATTTTATTATTTTTACAGATAAGGCAAGAGAAAATTGCAATTTTTTACAACTTGTATTTGATCCTGAATCAGCTCCTAAAGGACAAGCTATAGGAGATATAGATAATCGATTGGGCACACTGCAAGTGGCTAAAGATTTTGAATCTTCAGTTACTTCAGTATTTCATGATCCAGTTTTGGCATCTTTACCTGTAGCATTACTAGACAATAGAAGAAGTCTTTATCTAGTTATATTTGATTCCCGTCATCATGACAGTTTCTTGGGGTGTGCTAAGATTCGTGAGCTTTCTCCTATTACATTCAAGTGAGTTCATTGCCTGCAAAAGTCCTACATTAATGCTATTTTGTAGTAAATAACAGTAAACATTAATATGATATATCAGTGGTACAACTTAGTTCATACATTCTAACAACATCTCAAAAAGTAATGAAAATTATAATATTGCAGAAGAATTTTTGTGACAAATCATTAGATTTTTACTACAGGCTGTAGGCAGAAACTATTTAGATAAAAATAAATTATGTATCATAAATAACTCTTATATTTCAGAATTGTTTTCAAGAACAACATCCTTAACTTGCGTTAGTTAATTGCTAACTTAATTCTTATTTCTATATACAAAGAAAGGGAGGAGATATGGACTCCAGAGTTCAAAAAAATCTAAACCCATTTTCCCTCCTCTCCATACTCTCTTGGTATATTTTCCTATTCTGTACATCACATTCAGTTTTTAATGGGTTTGATACTAAAGAATTAAAAATAATGGATTATTTTTTAAGAATTAAGATGTACAAGAGATAACACAAAAAATTGAACATTTATAATATTTTTGTAATAAAAAGGTAGCTGCTCTAAAAAGAATTTATCAGTTAAAATAGTATATGTAAGGGCATTGAATTCTAATCCTTCATAAGGCTGTGTTTCTATGATGTGATTGTGGCAGAATTGTCAGTTCATATCATTATGCATTATATCTAAACTGCCAGTTCACCACTTTATTATTCCCAGTCTAGTTAAAATAATGATCAACACCAATATGCAATTAATTTGTGAATTTGATCAATCCCAAATGTTTATATTGTTAGAAAAAATATTATAATTTAATATTATTATTAATTCAATTCTAGAGCACACTCTCATACCATTCCTCAACTCCCTCAATTGCAAGCCTGGCCAATAAAGACCACACATTTTCATGCTACATTTAAGAAAGGCTGGAATGTGACTTGAAGAAATTTGAGTATTTAAAATGATAAAACACAAACAAAACATAACAAAATATATCAAACTCATTTTTGTCCACCAGTGGACATTATATGACTCAAAACGATGCTCCTTGCATTGTAATTTGACGTTTCATAATTTTAAGATTTTCCATTAATTTATATAGTTTTTACAGTTCCTTTGGTACTACAATCACATGGTGCTTTAGAAAATGAGTTTTTATAATATAGCATTTTTAGATTCAATAATTTTACTTTCTTTTCCTACCACATACATTCTACTAGTTGTAGTATCTAAACCATTTAGATAATTTTCCCAAATAATCTGGCCAAGCTCATGCCTCTATGAGTTTGAAACTGATATTTTGATTTTTGGAGGCACTTAACATGAAGCCTAAACATTTTTAAATTGTTCTTGAAAATGTTTAAATAATTTTTTTATTACCTTATTTCTTGGTTGCAGCAAAATATACTGAAAGAAATGGCACAGATCTCATTTTCATTGACCTCTCCAAATTTTAAAAAAATTTAAAAGTTCAAAATTTGTTCATATTTTTACAACTATAATACTTAGTAATAAGGATTGTTTTCCTTAATGAAATTTGTTCTTCAAAGGCGTTTTGCTTAAAATTTTGCTTAAAATGTAGACAAATTTTAAACACATATTTTCTCAAAAACAACTTCAAATTTTTCTTTAAATTTTTTCCTCATATGTAGCAATTTTTAAAAGCAGGATAAAGGGGGTTGTAGTCATCCAAAAAAGGAAATAGATTCTAAAATAAAAAAAAGATAAAATAATAAAAAGTTTTCAAAAATAAAATTATTTTTAACCTATTTATTGAACTTTGCTCTCACAAAAATTTCAAAAATAAAAATGAACACTGTTTTGAAAAATTTTTTTAAAACATTTTTATTGAATATAAAATATATCTGCAGAGTTCACAAATTTTAAATTATTTAATGATTTTGTGGAAAAAAAAATTCCTTACAAATTCAGAGACACCAAATTCAAATAGCAGATAATTAATTTCAAGAATAACCCATAAGCATTTTAGAAAGTGGAGTGCAGAAATAAAATAGACATTTTATATGAAGGATTTGCTTGTACCAGGAACTCCCAAAATGTGTATTTTCATTAAAAACTTGGGCTAATTACAATGTTATTCTTAACTATGTATTTGAGATCCCCCTCCTCCTTTTTTCCATTTTACTTCATACTTTCTTACCCAATCTATTCTCATAGCAAATGTGAAGTATTTTATTATAGTTATATTTATTGTATTAGATCTTGTATTCCTGGGTTTGTATAAGTGGTGTTTATCCAAAATGTAAAATTCATAATTTTATTGTATTTTTCTTTCACAGAACATTGATCAGTTCAAATGGAATTAAAGGGCAAGTAACTTTCAGTCAAAGATCCCCATTTGATCCCACATGGCTACAATTTAATCTAACATCACCAAGGAATGAGGATAAACGTATTTCTTCATTCAAGATAAATGAGTTGCTTCCCTTGTCATATGTACCTCCTGGAGAAAATCGCTGCTTGACCACTGGTCAGCTATTCAACCCCACAAGTATTTCTAATGAAAATGGTCAGTAATTTATATAATTTTCTTTATAAAGCTTTTATGTGCTTTAATTTTTATTTTTGATAGTTTTAATTAATAAAAATAATTGCAGATTCATTATATTTTAGGATTTAAATTAGTGAAATTGAATATCAGTTGTAGATAGTATTTATTTGTTTGTTTATTTTATTTTATTTTTATTTAAGATACAAAGCCAGCAGGAAATCCTAATAATATGCTTAAAACCAAGAAAACAATATAATTTTTAACATATAATGATAATATATCTGTACAGAGAATATCCTCCAGATATTTGTTAATCATAGCAAAATGAGCTTTACAATAGTTACATTGAGTGTAATTTTTTCCTAGTAGATATTCCAAAATAATTAGAGATAGCATTACTATCATAACTCAAATGTGAGTGGGGAATGATATCTATTGACAGTAAAGATTGGATACAATTCCTCATCAACACAGCCAATAAAATTGCCCAAAATTAGTTTCAACTGTCTCTTATTAATATTTTTGACATCATTAACTTGAAATAAGGCATAGAAATCAATCATGTTCTTCAGGGATTTGATCCTTTGATTCTTGAGTGAATCATTCTTACACTAGGTAAACTCAGGTCTATCAATATCAACCAGAATGAGCCAGTTTTCACTCCACATCTCATTAAGACCTTTAATTCATCAACGAAACTTTCAATATCTGTAATATCAATATAGGGAGAAATATAAATCAAAATAAAATAATATATAACTCCCCCTATAGTAATTAATAATCCAATAATGTCAACAGAAGGAACAGCATACTTTATGTGTTCTGTATTTATAATGAAGTTTGAATACTTTCTATTCCCTGTAATTAGTTTACCTCCTCATTTCTTTTGATATTACCACTTTCAACATCAAAAAAATTATAATCTCTAAATTCATATAAGGTAAGCTTCAGCTTAAGTCAAGTTTCCTTAATGCAGATAATGTAAAAGCAGCTAATATCACTAACAAATAAGAAGACTAACTTCTTCACCACACCACATATATTTTGATAATAACAGTTTAATGATGTTTAAGCACTCAGGAACTTTCAGGAAGGAGATTCAGGTGTCCTTCCAAGAACTCCAAAACTTCCTCAAGAAGGTTGTCACACTCTTGACAGGCAAGGATAAGTTTCAATGGTTGTATATTTGGAGAATCTATTATCTGAATATAAATAAAAGGGAAAACTACTCTATTGATATGATGCTGACTGCTTTGATCTTATTAGTAATGAAAAAGTTTCAAGAGTTGTTTGAATTTAAAAAAAATGGAGGGCGTTGTTGTTTATTTATTCATTTATGACGACTCAATCTCCTGTGAACTCTACGCAACCCACTGTACAGTCAAGGATTAAGTGCATCTTCATTGTATACACGAATTCTGCCCCTGTGAATATGAAATATCAGCATGCCCAAATTTGAGGGACAATGTTTTAACAACAGGATACTTGACAACCATATCCAAATCAAACAGAACAAACCCATACTTGCGAGAATGACTTTCATCTATTAGAATTTTACAGAGAGATTTACACAACATTGAGAGATACACTGCAATAGCGAAGCATTGCTGGGTCCACTAGTTGTGAATAAATTTGTCAATAAAATAATGCATATTTAGGAAGATATTCTTAACAGCAATATCTTTGATAAGAGATTTAATTATATTTACAACACGCTCTTTTGAGTCAGATGGAGTTCTATGTAAAAAAACATAAAAGTCAAAAGGTGTATCTTTGTGAAACATAATAGAAATTTAAATGTTAAGAGATGAAAATTGAAATTATTCAATAAATCATTATCAATTAAATACTGCAGTTTAAAATAATTTGTTGAGAAATTTAAAAATTAGTATTTTTATTTATCCTATTGAATGTAAATGAAGAACATAATCTAAAGTACTTTTATTTTTCAACCAAATGACACAAAATATGATGAATATTTGTTATTAGTCACCATTCAATACAGTGTTTGATAAACATTTTTGATTTTGGGTTCAAGGGTCAAAAATATGATTCTTTAGGTACATGGATTTTTTCTAAGTAATCTATAAAAGATTATGAAGAATCCTATCTACATTCCTAATAAATATTATGTGGCAGTTAATCAGAAAAGAAAGGAAAACTTGTGTAAAATAATTTATTTACTTGAGAATATTTAATAATACTGTTACAGCGGGAGCCAGTCAGGACACATATGCCATTGGAGATTTAAGTGGGAAACACAACATGTGGAGAAAAGAACTCACACTATCTGAGTTGAATCAGAAATACTGGGATGTTTTTCTTCCACTGCAGGGACCACATAGTATTGGTCATCGCTCTTTAGTTTTTCATAGGTAAGCAGTGAAACTTGGTATCGTAATTTTGCTTCTTAATACTTTGTGCATACATTTATATTAACTCCCTCCCATAATTTCAGAAATTTAGGAAATGGTACAATGGTTCCATGGTTCTGTGGAGATTTAATACAGTACTTGTCAAGTAACAAAAATTGGAAAATGCCAATGTTTACGGCATCAGTAGTGTTCCGATATCCAACAGTAGGAAGAATTATTTTTCGCCAACCTAGAGATCAACCCTGGACTGATACTACAATCATTATAGAATCTCTTGTGCATGGTGATGGCACTAATTTAAATAACACAGAAGACCATCGTTGGCTTATTCATGAATTTCCTCCAGGAAAGGATTTTTACAATTGGACCGGCAGGTGTCTCAGTGCTGGAACTCCTTACAATCCTTACAAGGTTTGCATTTTTCTTTTGAGTGAAAACTAGTGGAGAGTTATGTATTTTGTTTTAATTTTGTAAATGATATAAATATTTATCTAGTTCAAGTTCAGTAAGCTTTCTCGCAAAATGGATGTGCTTTTACAAGCGATATGATCCTCTGAAATATATAGTTGTACTATACCTGTTGTTGCAGGTAGATTATGATCCTAATAATGATGAAACATGCAATCAGTTTTCACCAAGTAGTTGTCGACTAGGTGATTTGTCAGGTCGTCATGGCACATTAAAAATTGCAGGTCGACGAGTCAATGGAACTCGCCTTACACGGCGATTGTTCACTGACAGTCAGCTTCCGTTGAGTGGAGCAGCAAGTATAGTAGGACGAGCACTTGTTTTGTATGATGATAATGGACCCAAAGCAAGAGGAGAGAGACTTGCATGTTCCCCGTAAGGCACTAATTATTCATTCTCTAAGCATTTTTACATGAGCTTCTGATACACACCCAATAAGAATTATTTGAAAAATCATAATTTCAAAATATTTAAAATTATTTCAAAACTGTATTGTGATTAAATATAAATACATAGTGTTACAGCTGTGTATCGACGAAAAGCTGTTGTAAAAGACTGGTTTGGAAATGGGCAATTGACACCCGTAAAAGGAAAAATTGAAATATTTCAGCAGTCTCAATATGATATTAGTGACATTGAGATTGATGTAGAAGGATTGAATGATGCAAGTGGATATCACATACATGTTGTAAGTACTATCTATATTTTATATTATTATTATTATTATTATTAGTAGTAGTAGTAGTAGTAGTAGTAGTAGTAGTAGTAGTAGTAGTAGTAGTAGTAGTAGTAGTAGTAGTATTAGTATTATTGTTGTTATTATTATTATTATTATTATTATTATTATTATTATTATTATTATTATTATTATTATTATTATTATTAATTTATTCATGTTTCTTTGGCCATGGAACATAATTTTGGTCAGCCTTATATATCAAGTTAATAGAGATGCAATAATTCACTTCAACAAGTGCCATACAATAAATATGCATACCACCAGAGAGCATTTCACCATATGCATGTACTATGCATGTTACCAACAGAGGAATAATTAACATTTATAAATGGTGTTATTTGTGCCTCTCTCACTGTCTCTCTCTATGCCTTTATTTGTCTCCCTTTCTGTCAGTCTGTCTGTCTGTCTCTCTCTCTCTCTCTCTCTCTTTCTCTCTCTCTTTCTCTCTCTCTTTCTCTC